TTCTATACTTTCTAGCACGTAGCTATTTATTATTAGCATTATTCTTCCGATGTCTGATTTCTTTTTAATTATAGGAAATGCGTTTTTCTAAGGTACATAAACTTTTGGGATTGACTGTATAGCCAATACATCCTTAAGTTATTCTAACGATCACTATGGTAGAAAATGAAATTAATAATATCGCTATGAGGGAGGATGAAGTATGCTCCCCGCTATTGATCGCTAGTTTCAGCATTATTGAACTCTAAGAAATTATGGAAAAAAATCGCTTTTGATTCATTCAGATATCTCAATTCGTTTCAAAGTTTAAGCGCAGGATTTACTGGCACAGTGACCTAGTTACGCGTATCAGCTGGGTGTCTAGACCGGTTGGTCGAGATTAGCGCAGGTTCGTGAGTCAGTGAACGTGCGAAAAGAACGACAATAGTGGCATTGAAAAAACACACTTGTCTTCACACGATGGTATCTCCAGAACCGCGAGTCGAATCAAACGATATTTTAACATTATTTTTATCGGTGTCAGAAGAGATCTGAAATTTTTGCTTAAAATTATTATTATTATTTTAACACTTTTTCCTCAATTATATTTTTAGTTTAAGGACGAGGTTTTTCTGGTTTGAACAGACTAGAGTAGTTGATGCTTTAATCGCTGGTATGGGTGTTTCGGCCCATCCCGACGTCTTAAAGGCTTCAATAAAGATTCCCGCGGATAGTTTCAATTGAGATCATTTTCATAACGAACCGACTGTACCAATCCACTATCGCGTGTCTTTAGAGATCAGTGAGCTATATACATATATACCAGCCAATATATGTATATATGCACAAAAAGAAACCCTTCCGCTTCAATATATACCTTTTTTTCTAGAAGTTTATTACAACGAACAATAAAGTGCTTAATGAAACGCTTCAACTTCCCCGCCCCCATTCGCTCCTGTAAATTCGTCCCTTGTTCACTCACACACCATCGTCAACGAATTCTCGACTTCTTCGCTTTCCTTTCTATTTATAATAAATATGTACACGCTTGAACATTTGTACAGCTTCGAAGATCCACTCTGAATGCGCTTCACCCCCTTCGCACCCTCCCGCGCAACAGGTATGTGTGTGCTCGACTCTTCTTTCTCCTTGCTCCCTCGCGTCGATCGGCGATCCGGGATCCATCGAACGGTCCGCGACGCCGTTTCTGACGAACGCAAATCGAGAAAGTGACCGTGCGTTCCGAGGAATATCCGAATATTGACGTTCAAGCGGCGTCTCTCAGGTCTCACCGCGAATAGATAAGATACAGTCGAACTACATAGTTTCTCTAATTTCTAGCATTGCACACGGTAAAGAGGACGGTAAAGAATCGGACACGGGACCCGCTGGACCGCGATCGACCGCGAGAAAATTTTGAGCCGGTGTTTAGTAGACGCAGGGAAAGCGATTAAAGGGAGTCATGCTTAGGTTTTAGTCTTTGAACTTGAATCATTGCAGGTTTCATTGACTTCGAGTTGCCAGGGGTTCGAGAACGTTTCATTAATTCTAAGCCGTAGAAATGCACACGGATCAATCGTTCTCTATTCGTTATTAAATATGTCGAAGTAACAAAATAAAATGTGATTTTTTTTAAACCGAGTATTTGAAAAGAAAAGAGAAGTAAGAGACCGAACGATCCGTGTCCATTCCTCGCGAAAATGTAGTTGAGACTCTTAACAACTAATCGAATGAATTCCATAATCGTTTTGCTGCCAGATTTATTGATGAGATATAGATGAATGTACATCTGGGCCCCAATAAAGTGCTACTTTTTAAATCGAGTTTTAAAACGAAAGAAGCGTATTTATCACCTAATAAAACATACGTTCGTTCGCCGAGTTTCACGGACGCTGACCTTTCTTATGCGAAGATCCGAAGAACGGCCGGTAATCTCTCTCTCTCTCTATCTTTCTCTCCCTCTCTCTCATTCTCTCCTTTTTTTTGTATCGTTTTCTTGTTTTCTTTTCCGTGAGAAATGAACGACCAAGTGTGTAAATGCAGCAATGATTGACGACGATTTCTTTTCGTAAAATGGTAACGTTCTCGTAGGACGAAGGGGACGTGATCCGCGTGAAAAGCAAAAACCTCGTTTCCGTTTCTCGATCAAGATTTCTGGTCTGCGCAGAGTCTGGGCGGCTCGTTTCCCCCGTTACCAAGCGAGTTACAAAAGTTTTAACTAGCGATCTACGAGATGACCATGTTCGTTCCTAAACGATTCGACTCGATCTAGATTCCAGTACGTAAGTGTGCGTGAGTGCGTTAAATGGAAAATTCGGCGGGCCAGAGATACGAGCAGCCTCCGGTTATTTATTATCTCCGATTCTAATGTCTGTTGATGGCGGCCAATGGATTCTCTATAAACGTATAAAAAAGACGAATATTACACTGCGATCAAAGCCGATCTAACGCGCTGCTCGTCCCTGAACAGCCGAATCTGCGAATGCCATCGCGGAGGAAACGAAACGAGAAACTGCGCAATCCAGAATGCCCTCTCATTCTTCAATCTTCCAAAGTCGACCCTCTCATTCGCCAACCATAAATTATCTTGTTCACTTCAGAAATACGTTGTAATTGCCTTTCTCTCCTTCGATTCTTATTCTTGCCATCAGACTTCCTTTTCGTTCTGCACTTTTTCGTTTTCTATTCAGTTTTTGCTTCGTTTACTTCTAAGCTTGTATAAAAACGATAGTTCTTCCGTTTGTTCAGTTACACCAAAAGACGAGTCGAATGTGTGTGTGTACGTGTGTGTGTGTGTGTGTGTGTGCATAAAGCAAACTATATTGGGACAACATGAATTCTGAATAAATACTTAATATTACAACAAAATTTTAAGTATTCTTTCGTAATGTCACCGCTATATAGTTTGTAAGAAAATAAGATACTTTACTTGAAATTTGTATGTACAGATATTACAAACAACGTTTTTTTTTCCTCTTACTCTCGTTTTCATCTCGCATATAATGCATAGGCAATGTGTTTCTTTTTTCTTTCATTTTAATCATTTTCTACTACACGTCTCTCTATTGTACATACCGTGGATCAAGTCTAAACCGTTTTATGCGTTTCTCACTTTTCTTTTCTCCCGCTAAGGAATTTTAACGATTTCCTCGGAACTTTCGTATTCTTCTTCAAACAGGTCGAAAACAGAAACATACAGCATTAGTTCTCTAACTTTCTTCCGCGATAAAGACCGAATCTAATCGTAGAAAAAAAAAAGATCACCACGTATCGTTATTATTTACACCGGCAATTCTTTGCTTGAGAAAAGAAAAAATGTGACGTAGTCACGACGATTCTATTGTACTCTCGATCTGTCGAATTGGGAACTTGGTTCGGGGCTTTCGTCGAGCTTTTTATCTCTAATTTGAATCATTCAAATTTTATCTTTTTAATCTAATTTTGTACTCTTTTAATTTTACCTACTCGTTAACAACTCTGCAGATAAATATTTAAACGACCAAATGAATTTCTCTTCTTGATTTCGGGTCTCGAAAAATAAAAAAGAAAACGCTGATAGGAATTGTTCGCATTTTACGATTGAACGATGAACTAACATCTTACCGTAGAAACAACGATCGTTATATTACTATTCGTGACTAAACCAAGTTCCACCCTCCAGTCACGCGAGCGATTCAACACTCGAAAGGATTCAACACGGACTGAGAAATCTTTAGACGCATCCACCATCTCTTGCCAACAATAGATACAATGCTAATGGATCGCCGCGGGACGATCCGCGTTTAAAACTTTTATTTCGTCCTCGTTCCTTAATCTTACACTCTCTTGCCACCTAGCAATCAAAGTCATCGCACGCATTCTCGCAGAGCACCACCGTCCTCTGTACATCATTTCACGCCAATAACGATCCTACCACTTTGTTAGTCTCACGAAAAAGTTTTACGAGTCCGTTTCGTGTGCATCGACGCAGTCTCGTCGCGATTCCAAAGCGTCCGACACTGGTTTACTCCTTAGCATATTTCGATCACGCAAAGAATAAAGAAAGAATAAAAACACAAGAGACAACCGAACTACCGCGCACACGCGTGTCGGTGACTCGCTTACCGATTGCAGTCCTCCTCGTCCGTGATAATCTTCAAATATGTACAGAAACGGGTGCGAGAAACACACCACCGCACTCATCACACTAGAAAGTCTGGGTCACTATAGTCCTCACCGCTCTCGCTGCTGTCGGAAATTCTTCTCCTCTTCTTCTTTTTGTGTTTCTTCACCTTTTCCGTTTTGTGCGTCCGGTGTTTGCGGTGCTCCTTCGCACCCTCCGCGTGGTGCGCGTGTATCGTCAACTTCGGGACTCGCGGGGTCGCTATGTGCGACGCCGTCGTGTTCATGGAAGCGGGCGGCGGAGGCGCGTGAATGGGCATGGGTGGGATGGTACCACCGGCGACCATCGGGTTCACCGAATTGTTCGGATGCTCCATGGACGAGTTCAAATTTCCCTGATATTGATTCGCCATTTGCTGATTACCGGGGTCCGCTATTTTCTCCAGCTCGGAGTTGACAATTTTTTGAGGCGTCTCAGTATGCTTGCTGCCACTCGTGTCCCCCTCGTTGCCCTCCTCCTCCGCTTCTTCGAGATCGAACTTCAGCATCAGCTGCTTGAAGTCCAGGTATTCTTTCACCAGCTTCTTCCTGCCCTCGGCGTCGAGGTCCACGCTGCTCACGCCTTCGTTCAGTCTCTGCAATGTGGCCTTCGGTTTGAACAACAAATTGTTTTTACGGTTCATCGTCTTCTCGTACACCTTCGCCGCTTCCGTCGGCGAGTACTGGCCGATTTTCTGGTCGGAGAATCCGTAAAGGTCTTTCAAGTGCTGCCTCAGCGTGAGCAGCAACAGGAAACCTTGGCTGGCCGTAATATATTCCCTCAACAGGGTCGTGTCGCTTGGTAGCCTCACTAGTAACGAGTTCTCGTCCTCCTCGTCGTCCTCTTCATCCTCTAGCACCGAGGACAGTAATTGATCCGGTCGTGGTTTTCCGTCCGGCTCGATAGGCTGATGTTGATGCGACTGCTGCTGTTGCTGCTGGGGATGTTGATTATGATATTGCTGTTGACTGTTACCTTCCTTAGGTAGCAACGCTTCCTTGAACGACTGCAACAGATGCGTGCCGGACACCGAGATAATAATGTCGATGTGGTGGATGATGAACAGCGGCTCGTCCTGCACTTGATATGTAAAATACGCGAGATTGTCGGCGAGGTAGAGCATCTGCGACAGGCTTGTCTTCGCGGATTCGTCAAACTGTTTTAGAAACGAGAGGACGATCGCTCTCCTCTGCTGCTTCGTGTTCCTCAGGATGGTGTATAGGAATCCGTTCAACGCGCTGGGGAACTCGCCGTCCTTCACCCTCATTCCCCTCACCGTGATTTCGTTCTGCAAAATCTTCTGTAGTCGATAACTCAGTTTAATACCCAGTTGAGACTTCATGTGAATGAAGCCGGGATACTTCTTCTCGATGTCCTGAAGCTGCTTGTCCGCGCTGTGACTGACCGCCTTCTCGCAGTCCGTGCTCATGCAGATCAGATAAGGAACTATCTGAACCGGATGGACCAGGCCCTGAGCCAAGATCAACTGGATCACTTTTAGCGCCGCGTGCCGCACACTGACGTTCGCGTGCAGAAACGATTCCAAGATCTCCTTCACGTACAACTGGATCACCGTGCTGGCCATCCCCGAAGAAACGTCTCCCATTTCCTTCAGGTTCTCCTGCTTAGACATCTTCGCCCACTCCATGTCCTGCTTGATCATCCTCTTGTCTTCTTCTTGCAAGTACACTTCGATGTTGTTCAGCACCTGGATCCTCATATAAACCAGAGCGTTCTCCGACGTCAGTAAATGATGGTACAGTTCCTTTAACTCTGGTAGCAGCATGAATTCGTAATGGCGAATGCACAGGGAACCAATCGCGGACAGGGTGAAGTTACGGATGTCGTCGTTGTCTAGTTGAACGAAATAGTTCAACGTTTTGAATACTTGATCCTTTATGTTCTCCTCGAGCCCCTCGATTACTTCGGGATCTGTGAAGTTGAAGTGTCGGAGTAATAAACCAACGGTGAACAATGCCCTTTTCACGTGCGGTCTATACTTCATGAGCGCCGGATTGCTCGGCTCTTTCTCGTACAGCGATTTGTAGTCCGTCAAATATTTATAATATTTTTTAAAGCAGTCTCGTATCAATTTAAAGTTTCTGGTAACGTTATTAACTATGGAGCCTAAGCAAGACAAGCAGCTCGCGACGACCGATCTGTCGTGCTGTAGGATAAGTTTCACCGAGTCCTCCTCGAGCTGAGCTAAAAAAGTTTCGCTCGGATGTTCCATCAGCGGTACCACGAGCTCCAGCGTATGCGCCACGCTGCTAATGATCTGGTAGTCCCCCTGAGTTTTACACTTCAGGCTCAAATAAGGCTGCAACGTGCTCGCGTGATTTACCAGTAGCCGCGGTCGTATCTTCGCGAACAGATACAAGGTTGTCAGGCAGGCGACCAACCTTTGAGACGATCCTTTCTTCCCCGATTTCTCAGATTCTTCCAAATTCGCTTCCTCCAAGCGAAGGACGTTCTCGATCAAGCAGTCAACGATCTGCTTACACGCCGTCAACAACGCCTTCGGCGGTTCGGTTTGCATCTTTGTACTATCGTCCTTGTCTTCCTTCGGCTTGAACAGACTAACCAGCAGCTGTTCGAACCACTCCAGACCCATGTCCTTGCTAGCAGCTACAACGTCCGTGATGTTCATCACTTTTCTCAACAACGATTCCGAATCCAATGTTGGACGTTCCCTGACCGGCGTGAACCACATGTTCTGAAACACTTCCATTACCAATTTTCTAATGCCCTCCTCGTCGTTCACCCGTCGAATCATTTTCACACAGATTTCCGGTATCTTTGGGAAATCCGGGCATTCCATGCAAATATCTTTTAGAATCTTGATGACGCGTTTACGCACGCTAACGCCAGTATCTAGGATCCTGGCCGACAGCATGTCGTAGTACTTATCTATTAATTCGGGCCTACTTAGTACAAATTTTCCTACGAGATCGACGGCCGCTTCGCGGACCGAGGTCGCGTGGTCCAGAAATGAATGCTTCACGCCCAACTGCATATCCACCCGCGCCAGCACACTGGGATCCGCCTCGACGATCACAGTCAAGCACTTCATAGCCTTCGTCCTGATCGCGATGAACGACTCCGTCAACACGTGCAGGATCTGCTTCAGATAGCGATCGAAACTCTGCGAGAACGGCCTCTTCGAGGCGAGATACTGCGATATCAGCTCTGCTGAATTGTAGTCGATGTATGTCTGAAGTATGTCCGACTTCGTGCCCGTGCTGTACGGCCTTATTCTACTTATAATATATTTCTTCTTCTCCTCGATGATCCTGTACGCCTCCGAATTCTTCTGGTCGTTATTGTCGTTTTCGTCGGGGTCCGGCTCGTCGAGTTCCGACTCCGAATCTTGATCGCTCGAGTGATGTTTGTTTTTCTTTTTCACCCTTTTCTTATGCATCTTCTTGCTGGGACTGTTCTTCGTTTGGCCGACTCGCGATTTCTCTACCGCGCAATCCCTGTACCATTGCGCCAAATAAAAATGACGAGCGTAGCCCAGTGCGGAGTCCTTGGTTCCGTTCACGGCCAGATAGTCAAGTAGAACTTTCTGTAAAAAAACCATTCGCTCTTCGTCCTCGTTCAGTCCCGGTATCTCCTTATCCTTCACTTGATCGTAATCGGAATCTTTTTGCTGCTCGATCATGATATCTTTTATGATCTGATCGATTGTGGACAATTTGCACTGGGAACTGACCGCGTCCTTCCTCAACCTGGCCGCGACCACGCCAAGGTAATCGATGGAGGCGACCCTCAGCGCCATATCAGAGCCCTTATTGGAGAAATGACCCACCAACAAATTCCCGAGCAAACTCAGGAGCAACTCGGCCGCTGGCCACTCGGGTTTATTAACTGTGGCTAGCAGATCTTGCACGAAATTCTCAAACAACGGCCTGTAATCGATCTCCTCGCCTTTACTTCCGCATTTGTTTAAGAAGACTGTTAAAAAATTCCCTGCTATTCTGGTTGCGGTCTCGTATTTGTTTATAATTAATAGATCGGCATCCACGTAAGTGAGCTTCTTCTCTTCTTTGTTCTCCTCTTCGTCCTTCTTCTGTTGCTGCGGTGATTGTGGAAGTATATTGTCCGGTAGAACCACGACGCATTGGATCAATTGTAAAACCAACGCTGTCAGCATCTGAATGTGATCTTCGGAGTTTAGCCTGTATGTCCTGAGACTCCTTTTGCTGCTAGGGAGCCGCGCTATGGACGCCAGAATGTCGTCTAGCAACAATCTCCTGTGCTTCTCGTACTTCGTAAAGATCACCGTGACCAGTTTCAATGCGCTCAATTGAAGATCGCTGACGGATTCGACGAAGAACGGCGCCACGCCTAACGTAGACGCGTGCAGGACGCTAGTGTCTGTAAGAACTTGAATATTTAACAACTCCGCGAGGAGACCCACCAATTCGTGCATCTTGTTGTAAACCTGAAGGATACTCTTCTCGCGAACCTCTTTCGTGTGACCCCTTTTCTTTCGCCCGCTAGAGTTGTAATTGTCAGTCTTGCTTTTCGTGTCTATTTTATAAACCGGATCGAACGAAGGATAGATGGTGTTCTGCAATTGAAATTTCATGAAGAGCACTATTCTGTCGATTACGTCTTCCAGGTAGACCATCTTCGGCATGTTGCTAGACGTCATTATGTGCAACGCGATTAACGAAGCGTCGACGGCTCGTTGCACTCTTTCCATAGCTAACTGCGTCCACAGTCGACTCTCCTCCACGTCGTCGTCGGGATCCGCCAACGGCGATACCTTCGCTCCGTCACGGATGTTCTTTTCCAAGATGCTTAACAGTCGTACTAATCTGTCCGCTGGAATCGACTCCATTGCTCCTAATCCTTTCAACTTCGCGGCCTCGACGCACAGGTCCTGCAATTGATATTTGGGAATTAACCATTCCGGAGGCACGTCACCGTCATCTTCCAATTCTGCGTTGGCCGCCACGTCTTCTGTATTCTCGAATATCGTTTCGATGGTCGTGTTGAAACGTTGGTACGTGTTCGTCTCCATTAGTTCCTCCACGCTGAGCTTAGCCAACACGGGAACGAGCTTCTTCTCCACTTTTCGGATTTTTGGTTTCAGCGGCTGGATAAGAACGTCCTTCTTATCCCCTTCCTCATCGTCGTCGTCGTCGTCGTCGATAAGCCTCCTTCGCCTTCGCGCCTTATCTTCGCTCTTCTTCCTCTCGGCTTTCTCCTTCTCCCTTTGCACCTGCCGCTCCTTTGCGCGCGCTTTGAAATGTTTGTTGTTCTTACTGATCTCCTCCTCGCTCTCCGACTCGGACTTCGTTTCCTCGCGGTTCGAAATGCCCATTTTCGCCGCCCGGCTCGGCGACTTCTCCGCGAACGCGGCCAGACTCTTCTGCATCAGCGCCTGATCCGCCAACGATAATCTGTCCAACCTGACGACCGGCTCTTTCAATTTCTCCGGCAAAGAACCAGCTATTTTCACTCCCTTCTCCGTCGAGTTATTGTTCTGCTGCAGCTGCATTATTGGCGTCGGTGCCGTGTTTAACGTGTTGACCATATTGTTGGCGTCCATGCTCGGGTAAGATGTTTGCGTCGCTGATAACAGATGCTGCGTCACGTTTTCCACGTCCTGCTTGATCTGTTGCATATTGTCTATCGGTATATCGATATCAGGAAGACCTGTCACCGGATCCAGTAAAAACTGTGGATTCTCTTGCACCGGGCCGTCTATGTCCATCGGTTGAGGAGTTCCTAACGAATGATGTACTTGTTGATTCATCATCGGATCAAACATGTTCTGCTGGATATTGATCGGTTGATGTTGCTGTATGGGTACGTTAGCTCGCATCGGGGATGCCATGTGCATGTTATGCTGGGGTGTCATTCCAGCCATGTTATGGTGTTGAGGCGTCACATTGCCGACGTTTGTCAACGGCGTGCCGGGGGAGCTCATGTGCGCCGGGGAGTACATATTGGGTTGAGGAGTCATGTTAGGCATAGGGTTGACACCGGCCGGCGGTGGTAAAACTGTCCTGGCCGCAGCGGGATGAGCCGGGCTACCCTGCGGCGTTTGCCTCGACCCCGAGGAACTCGAGTACGACGGCGAGAACCGTCCGTAGTTCGCGGACGTTTGATTCGCGTGCATCATGGGCGTACCCTGGACCCAATTCCGCGGCGAATTGTATTGAGGCCCCTTGAACACGTGCGGATTTATCTGCAAGATCGCCTTAAGCAGTTCCGGAGTGTTCTGCTCGGTTTCCATCGGCTGTTCCACGTTCGCGTAATTGTCCTTCAATTCGATGTGGTCGGACGACGTCTGCGACAACGAGAGTATCAATTGGGGCACTAGGTTCTCGTTACGTACGCTCAGCAATATTTGCGCTTCCTCTGCCACGCGTGGGTGAAACAAGAGCGATTTATTGGTCAACGTCTGGGGCAGCGGTGTCGGCAGGGGCATTTCGGGTAACAAGTCGGTTAGACTCGCGATACCAGCGAGAGTTGTGATCGGTACACTCGGTATAACCCCGTTCATCTTGAATTTAATTTGTTCTGGCATTACAGCCTGGACGAAAAATATTACGAAAATTAGATCCGATGTCCTTGGCCGTGCTCCAAGGTTCATAGAATCATCGAACGCAACAAACACAGCACTGACATATTTTGAAGAAATGTTTCTCCGTTTACAGTATATGGTAAATATAAATCAACAGAACATATCTAAATGCACTGTTATCACGAATGCTTAAAGAAATCATTGTCAAAATCTTTTCACTCTCATTCTCAAGGCATACCGATGTTACAGATACTTCTCACTGTCATACCTAACTGTGTCTAATGATACTTAAACGACACTGCCACTAAAGCCTGTAATGGGAACTTAACAAAGTCTCTTTTAAGTTCCCATGATGCACCAGACGATATCAACCAAATTTTGACGAAGCACGTGGGTCCTCCAACAATCGGTCCATCATTAGCAGTTTCTTGTACTGAAACAAACATTTCAGAAAAAAGTACATAAATCAGATGAATCAAATGTCAACAAAAAAAATGGAAGTAACGTCGATTGATTTTCTTCATTAATTCACAAAACTAAAATATTTTTATAAAACAGCACTGGTTCACGATTATCTATTATGTAGAACACCGATTTATTAACAGTAAATGCAAGATAAGTAATACGTCGTAGTTGTGTATGTTCTATTTCTATATACATACCTACATGTACGTTCGTACACGTATTGCATCATAACAAAAACATTATGGGTCATTGTTCATTCAAACTTACTTTACAAATCTCCTTGGAGTAAAACAAATTCAATGGGTAAAACACAGTGAATGAGATTCGTATCAAATTGGAGTACGAATTAAACAAGAGTAAACAAATGGTTTACATGTATAGTGTCAAACCTATGTGTCACTCCTCCCGATGCAAGCGGCGTATTGTTACAACAATTTATTTCGTTGGATTATCACTCACATGGGTTTACTCAAGCATTCGTGGCTGTGTCACTATCACTTTGCAAATCTGTTATAATTTACCTCCAGTTGCTGGGTATCCACCATCCAACATCATACATATGATAACATGGCCTTAGGGATGATGCTACAGGCTGGAAACCTCCCAAGTGACCGCGATCTCGCTAAATAATAGAATTGCCATGATCAGCGGTCTGAACCGCGACGATTGTATGTCATTTGAACGGACGGAAACAAACTCCGTTCGAAGTATCGTGTCAGTTGGCTTACCGAGCTGTGCACGATGATTATTTATATTGCCAGAATACGATCAGTGAGCGGGATTTTGGCGGGAGGCGTATCGGTATCCGTGATCTCTGTGTCGTGCGACGCCTCGAAATCGTCGCCAAATTACACGTCTGCAAGCGACAGCGGGCCAATTCGCGCGTATCCGTTCGCGAGAACTTTTCAACGACGAAAGATACTCGCTCAATTGTCATCCGTGGTTGTGGCCTATTTGGTTGGACGCGTTTCGCCGTCGAACGACGATGCACGCACTACGTTTCGCACTGCGTAACAATTTTCACTTAAACGTTTCACAGTGCCGCTCAGACATCGCTACGTCAAAGTTGGTGCATCGCAGTGAAAACAGTATTTATAGTGTGAATACGAGGAAAACAGACACAAAGGCGTCCATTTTGCTCAGCAGCGAGTTAGCGGAAGTTGCGTAGTAGATACAGGCTAGATACAGATATACCGGCGCCACAGCGTCTTATTTCGAATTACGTTTGCGAACCGTTCGCATGAAAGCGACGTGATCCACGTAAGTTTCTTTATTAAATATTATATTTAGCATTTCCTATCTGTATCAGTGATTAAGTCGAACGAGAATGGTTACTGTAAACGACTGTAACAGCAGTTTCTGACAAAACAGTTGACGATCAATAAGGAGATTTTCGTAAGCGTCATGCAATTGTCTTTCGGCGACAGTAAGTACATGACGATAAGTACTTACCGATATAATCACATCGTTAATAAATAATTAGAAACTAATTATATCACTTTCCCGCGTCGGTCACACGGAACTTTGGTGGTACTACCTTTTACATACTCAATGGCGAAGTATAAATCCCTATAGGTGTCGCTACTGACACCATCAGTTTAATTGTGCAATCTTTCGGTAATTAACGTTTAGAAAGATATTTTCCAATTAATTACCGGTTCAATTGACTCACTTACCGTCGATAAGTATTAATAGTCTCAATTATTGGCCTCAAACGGTATTTTTAAGCGCGATGAATAATAGGCGAAAAGTAGGTCGCATAAGCGATGACTTGCTAATTCTGTCGATACAAAAAGTGAGATAATTATATCTATTAAAAATGATTTGGACCCATTTTACGAATACCGACGCGTTACTTAATTTGAAAATTAATACGTAGAACGGAAGAAAACAATATCTATGTGTTGTGTACTGCGTATGTGTACGCATACGTGTAACGTTGATTCGACGCAAAACATTTCCAAGAATCATCTAACAGATTGCGCTGTGCTCGGGTCAATTTCGACTCTCGTATTCACGGAGGCTCGAGGAAAAATAAAATTCCGAGTAAAACTCCAAAATGGCGCGACAGCCGAGTGTAAACACCCAGTTTTCGTGTTGAGTAGAGTGTGCTAGTACTTCTGTTTCACTGTGCAACGTGAGGGTTAACAAATTTCAGCTGAATGTTCACGGTATCCACGATCGCCCATTCCATACCAGGTAAGTAAGTTATACGAGTTGTTTGACATTGAACCGAGCGTTTCCTCCTCCTAGCCCGAATTCGTATACCCGCGAATATTCCCTTAAAAATCTGTACGATCATTTGATTGCTGTCGTTTGAAAACGAGAATCAATTCGAGAATGTTTGAAGGAATTTTCAGCTAAGAGTTTTCGTGCGAATTCGACAAGCATCCTTACTTGGAAGTGGGACGCTTTTCTATGATAATATGCAAATTGATTTCTACGCGATTCACTATTATTTAACATGCAAATCCCATGCTTCGATATGTAGTGTGAATTTTTACTTTTTTGAATACACGTTTAAGTAATGATTTTGAAAACTTGTGAGGTATGTATACAGTTTATATACTCATACCACAAGCTGTGATCAGAATAATTGTCTGTGTGTCAATGCCACTGGTAACACTTCTATGTAAAGTTATTAAGATTTATGATAATTTTCAATATCTGAATGCTGATCATCTCTAATGTCTTCAGTTTTTCCAGGGAGTGACCCAAGTAAGATGACGCAGAAGCGTGGTTCCACGGCCACTAGTATGTCACATGTTGGGTAAGTTTTTTCATATAAAATACTACCTCCTTTAATTATCATAATTGAGTGCTATTTAAATTCGTTTAGCTATTTAAATGCTATTTGAAAGATCTTCCACGATTTTTAATTAAGTAAGTCACAGCAGTTTGCTGAGGAATTATACATGAAGTTTGACTTCTTTATTAATTCCAAGAACTGTGTGTCAATGATCATGCTTACATTTTATACAAATGTTTTTTACATTGCGACGTCATACTAGAAACATTTCGTATAAACCTTACATATTATCTCTGGTGTAAATGATGTTCCTATCTCACAAAGACGTTCCTTGGAACGAGGATTTTTGATTCATTAGATTATGGGTATATTGAGTAAAAGAAAGTATCGCGTTTATGTTTACTCGAGCCAGGTCGTTACATTTTTAAATAAGCGTTATATAAAGGATAATCAGAATAAAATATAGCTGGGATTACATACAAAGAAATTCTTACTGACATTACATAAATGTTTTATTACATAAAATATACATTATGTGAAACGGTAAGTGCAGCAACAATTCGATGTAATAACTGACTTCCTTCGCTCACTGTTATTACTCTTCTCTTATTCTAATAATGCGTTTCATCTGTGTAATGGATGACACAATGAACAATCTGAATGAAGACATTGTTAGGCGTCTCTATTAAAATTTGTCAGACGTCCCTATAAAAGGAGAATCCGAAAAGTTGTAGTTCATTCGAAATTTGATTAAACCATGTGCTATCCCTCGATTATCCTGATCCTCGTGGGTACGTAGCGCGAACGATGCATCCCGGTTAAAAGTGATGCTTTAACATGCTCACGGTGGCTGTGTTCCTCGTGGCTCTCGGGTGGGAGAAGTGATAGTCCTTACCGGGGTATAGCACAGCGGCACATTATGCGGCTATGGTGGAATCAGTCACTGGCGAGTTGTGGGTGGTGACTAGTCGGCGACCCATCCGTCCGTGTATAGGAAAACGTGGCTTCCGCGTTTCATTCTATTACCGCTACTTTCCTCGCAACGAAATACGCGGATATCGATCCCCTTCGTCGATCTCGTGCACGTGCCGTCGCGTTCCTCGACCGTCAAATTCGTTCGATCCATCAATAATTACGTAATGATTAATCGATTTTTAAAAACTCTGATTTCGTTCGTGTGAGTGTAGTGGTTCATTGGTGAGGATTTATTGTGCAATCGATTATTTCGTGCGTATGGAACTTGGATCTGTTCTCCTTTTTTTATTGAAGTTCAGTACTACGGATTGCGAGGAAGTGCATTGCGTACCTACGAGAGAAAATTATTTTCTTTAAAAATATTTGATCAATAGAATCAAAGCCGAACTTCATTGCGCGGAGAGTCGAGCTAATGATAGAAGGAACGAGAATCTTCGATGAAATTCCTAGGCATAATGGATGTCGTTCGATCGTTTAGATTGGTCCTCCTTTATTAGGCGCGCGTGAAAGTGTTTCAAGCTTTCGAAAACGGCACCGAAATTCCAGACATCGAACGATGCCCGAGCCATCGTTCACGATGCCTTTCGTAACTCGCGGTAACACCAGAAATCTCGTTTCAACGGAACTAAGGAATAAATGAAACCATATTCTTGTGCTGGTTTTCGCTTAAGACCGCTGAGAGGAGGAATAGCCGTTGGAAAAGCGGGAACACGGCGCGGATAATTTCTGCGCGCGTCACCCATAAATACCTGTTGGATCTCGCAGGAGAAAAGTCACCGGGATATCTACGAGCAACAGGCCTGGAATATCTGCCGTTGCGAACAGGGTGTAAAGTATCAGAGATTCGTCGAGCATAGATCTTCTAGATGACGAGATAACGCTGAACAAGGTGAACGTACGGATACCCGAGGTTTCTATTGGAATCCTTCGAATCTGATACGGCATGTTCGGAATTGTAGAATGCAATTGATTGCGACAAGACCGAGAAACACGGGGAATAGAAATGGACTCGCGGGAACCTTAAATAAAAATGCTTATTAAAACCCGTCTCGTTTTGGATGGTAAGAGGACAGTGAAAAAGACATCCAGGTAATCCTTGCGGACACTTCCTGTATCTTTGGGTCATCTCGAGATTTCGCGATAAACCGAGCAACACGAGGAGAGCAAAGTTTGAGACTGGCTCGGGGGCACAGATATACCAAGATGACGAACACATTGTTCCCTTTTAACGAAACGAGCACGCGTCGTAAGATTTCAACGTGAACTGCCGAGGATTCAGAAATGACTCACTTTGCGACTTATGTCAGGAACATCTCTTAACAGAAAAGAAAATGCCATAACAGCCGTAAAAAAGAAATTGCAACTTGTAAATCACGCAGAACTACTTGAAAAATCTGTGAACTCTTCGTCCCGTAAAAAAACCGGAGAACAGTATGGATACTTGATTTGAACGTTGCAAATCTGGGAAGCGTTTTAAGTTCATTGAATTTCGAGTAGAGAAAAGACCGGCAAAATAGAGTATCCCGGGGGTAGCGGTATGTACGGGGGTGGGACGGGCGGTGGAGGGTACGGGGTCGGTTTGGGCCCGGGTGCGGGGCCATCGCACTACATACCCTCGGCCACGTCTGTCGGCTACCAATTGGGCCCGCCACCCCCGCCGCCCCCGGCCTGTCCGACCGCCGGGACCCAGCTCCTGTCTTACGGACCCAATCTATCGCCCCATCATATGCAGCAGACCCACGGGGACGCGCAACAGTCCAAAAGGCGGAGGTAAATTATTCTTCGTATGTAATTCGATTGAAGAACGTAGACAACGTAGTGTGAGCAACGTGGAACTATTTCGTGGCCGGGTTAATCGATAGAATAGTTATAATTAGCGCGAGACAAGATGGTCAAGTGAATTCTTGACCTATATGCTTATGAACCCGCGTTGCTGTACTTTGTTCTGCGATTAAAAAGACGTAGCATCGAGAACAACGAGAAGAGACGTTGACATAAAGAACTCGTGTCGTATTACAACGTGTGAATCACGTTCGTATTCGTCTAATTGTAAGTCCATGATTCAGTTTAATTTCTAACTGCGGAAATGTCGATTCGTCCACCTTGCAAAACGAAGGTCTGTTACGAGAAACCGTGGCGTTGCGTTCTGTCACCGGTTGATAACTCATTCTCCTTTCGAATCGAATTTAAATCGTACGGCAACAGGATTTCTAAATTGTAAATGACTATTCTGCATAGTTAACGAGGCAAAGAATAAACGAGTAAAAAGAATCGCAAGCCGGTCCGCGTCGTGTACGGTCTAGTTTCTAACTCGGAGTCGTGACCACCGTTCTCGCAATTGCTTATTGAAATTGAGAGAGCCGAGCGTGTGTTAGCGGTCATGGATTCAGCTATTCCCTTAAATCAATAGCCCGCGGGGGGAAACTTCTGCCGTTTACCGTTCGGGAATTTCTTCTGTCGACCCATTACCGCACGCCGATTTATGTCGGCTTAGATCGCACAGTTCAGAATTACTTGGCCAGCTATCGAAGGATAGAAATTAGCAGGTTCCGATAATAAAAATGATCGATCACTTAACGTTGGGAAATCCACTGTCGAAATTGAAGTTTCAGCTACGTTCAATCCACTAGCATTTCAATTTCGCTTTAAACGATGTAATTACCCAGTTAATTTGTAGCCTACCGAATCTAAACGATCCAAAATGACGGAGATTGAAGAATGTCGAGCGTTAATCATTTTGGAAGATAGAAATGGAATGAAAAAGCGCGAGATAAGTGGATCAGGGCTTGATACTAGGAAAAGGAGCGGTTTAATTGACCGAGCGAACTTCGATGCGATAAACGACGAGAGTGTTTCTTCCATGAGATTTGTCACGTATCGCGTTATCAGTGACAAAACAATTTCAGCGTATCGGTATGATGTACATAATTTGGAACGGTTCGACGATTGGTTGAAAATGATAGCGTCCGACGCTACCTTTTGAATCGAGATAGCCCGATTATCGGCGAGGAACCGCGTAAAAACAGCGTGTCGTCGTAAAATCGCTTTACCGTCACCACGTGGACGGAAAACGCGAATATCTCCGATAGCTGATTTCGAAAACACTGTGCCAATGCTATGTTTCAATGTCCCGGAGGTTTTACAGTTGCCTTTTATTTCCACGATAGACTCGCGTTAATCCTTTCCTTATCTTTAACGCTGCGGCCGTTACAATCGTTACTATCATTAAATTATTGAATTCATCAAATACTTTGTATTTGTCGCACGATAGACGTTCGCGTTATCTTTATCTGTAACACTCCCGTTGTCACCATTATTTTTATTATTATTGACTGATTACATTGATCGGACACTGGACATATACGTCACGTTAGAGGTGTTTTGTTACAAAATTGGCAACATTTTCCACTGAAGTCGAAAACACTGGATTTCTAAATAACATCACGTTTTGACGGAAGTAAATGGCTTCGTTATTGTACAGTTGCACAACTCAGCGTCGAGTTCATTACATATTTATATAAAAGCGCGTGAAGAGACTGATCGTATGTACTTCCTTGTATCTCGGGCTACGACATTCACTGTTTTCAATCAGTATTTTGGAAACATCTCAAGGGGGAAAAAATGTCGATTCGAAATAAATCTGAAAATCGTATCGAGGATTTTTTGGTTCCACCGTAGAACAGTAAAATTCCTTTTCTTCTCGGGCTACGAAAGAGCCGCGGCATTTCTACGATCGCGTAAAAACTCGATCTATCGAAAGAGGCAGCCGTGGTCGTGAAAGGGGCCTTTTTTACCCTCGAACCTCCGACGCGGTTTTTCTTTTACACTCTGCCCATTATCTTCGCCGGTTTATTCTCACTTTCGTCGAGAGCCCGACCAAGTCACGCTCCATCGACTCCTTCTTCACCGTCAACTACTGATCCACGGGACATTCTTACGATTCGCCGCGTCACGAACGATTCAACGACTGCCGTGGATCTCGGTTTTTATAGGAAAATCGTCGCGGCGGACCTGAGAATAATCAGACTGCAATCTTTATGCAAAATAGAATGTCTGTAGTATCAATTTAGGAATATGTATTTCACTCTTCACGCGTACATATCATCACGTGTATTTTTTGGTAAATATCGAGTAATATGACGAGATTTTCAGAAACTCTGGAATTTAATTGGAAAGTTTCAATGAACAAATCTTCGCTTTCTATGGAAAAAGTAAAACAATGCTCGGATACCGGAAAATAGTTACAGGAAGTTTCCTGCTTATGCTTAATAAGAACCCCGTCGGAGTTCCAATTAGCGCGTGGCTGTGTATGTTACGTGTTTCTATCACGTTGATTTTACCGAAGCTCGCGTGAAGACGCGTGTCGATACGCTGGTATGACATAAATATGCATCAACGCGGCGCGTTTAGCGAGCGTTACTAATAACCGTGTTAATTATGAACGAAAATAATAGCCGCGACCGCCTCAAAACACGCTTTCCTCGTCGCCTGTTCATCCGGTTCAATGACTCCTCCTCTAAAGTTTTCTGTACTCTATATCCTATCTGTTCAAATTGAATCATTGAACATTGGAATTCCAACCTTAATTTACGGTTTAGTAATAAGAGTGACCATCGATCTTAAGGATGTATTGGCTATACAGTCAATCCCAAAAGTTTATGTACCTTAGAAAAACACATTTCCTATAATTAAAAAGAAATCAGACGTCGGAAGAATAATGCTAATAATAAATAGCTACGTGCTAAAAAGTATAGAAGGAAATATCCAATTAAGTATTGACGCTGACGAAAATTTTTTTTT